ACAGTTGCTTCACGCTGTGTTTTCCTTCAGGAAAAAAAAAAAAGTTTGGCAATTTTCTCTCTGAGAATCATCTTTCACTTTCCTCACCTATTTTCCAGTTATTATTTTGCTGCGTTTTTGACATAGTTTCCATCACATTCTGCATAAATGAAATCCATTTTCTTTCACGTGTTTAGATATTTATTTTTAACACAGTGGCGGCGGCACGCAGGACACGCTGCTGCATCTTTGTCTTTTACCTTTTTCTCTTCTCTCCTCCTCCTCCTGCATAGAAGGCAGAGAGAAATAAGGAGACATTATCTAATGGCTGTAAATTGCAGCCAATAAAAAAAGTGAATTTATTTGGGGTTGGATGAGAAGTATAACGACAGACACAAATCATGTCACACTCCAGCAGGAAACAGAGTGCATCCTAAAGTTTTTAACATTAACGTTTTAAAAAGATCATTGAAGTCATTTTGACCTTTAGAAAAGTGTTTTTTTTGAGGTCGCATCCCAAAAAGTCATTTTGAAAAAATCGAACTGCTTATTTTTTACTGAATTTTACTTTTAATACTTAAGTACGTTTTATATCAGACACTTTAAGACTTTTACTCAATATTCTTAGAGACTTTAACTTTTACCAAAGTAATTTTATGGTAAGACACTTGTACTTTTACACAAGTGTCACTTTGAGGTACTTTATACAACAATGGCTAAACATATTTTACATGCAAATAACTAAAACCAGGAGCAGAAATTCGACTGCAAACAAACAGGCTGATTTTCAGTCCTTTGGCCTTATAGCACAACAAAGTAGCATTAATACAAATCAAACAAAGCATGTCTGCACAAAATCTGAGTTGTGGGCAAAAAGTTTATTCTTCTGTAGTACACATTTCATTGCTTGTGTGAGAAAAAGACAATAAATATTTCACTRGAATACAGACAGAAAAACACTATTAATTTAAATAAAATAAATAAGATGTACTCATTGTAATTAAAAAAAAAACATTTTACTCACAATATAAAGCAATATTCCTCTACAGCATTAATATTTTTAAAATCTCAAATCACTTTGCCCAGGTATTTTCATAGCCATTCTGAATGACAACTTTCACAAATTGTGAATTCTGACACTTGAAGATGTAATCCGTCTGAAAGCTCACGAAGCTGTGTTGGTGGAGCTGCTCACTCTTCCCGTGTTTCTTCTCTGGCTGCAAATCTTAAGGTTTTTCAGCAGCTCTGTGATGGGCTTGCTTACTTCAGATTTTGTCACATTCTTCAGCACCTCTGTACAGCTAACCTGAAAAACAACAAATCCAGTTTGTTTGGCGCATTACCACTTTAATGTGTTCGTATTTGTTTTAAACCACAAAGCATGCGACAGAGCCATCGTGTTTTGTCCCTTTGCTGCATAAGTAGGGAACAAAATCTTACTTTCAAAGCCTTGATGTAGCCACCAAGTCTCTGCACAATGTCCTCTTCCTTGCCATGATGTTTCAGGATGTCTTTCACTTTGCAAAAGAACACATCCTGAACAGAAAATAAATCAAATCAGACTAATGTGCAACACATAAAAAAGAGATTTTAAAGTCATAAACTCTCTTCTCACCTTGCATCCTTCATCAGCCAGCTGCTGCACGTCCTCCACAAAGATTTTCTGTCGTACAAAACATTTATTAACATAATTTCATCATAAACTTTTTAAAGATAATTGTGGCATAAACAAATAACGAAACATCGGKGCTCTTACCCTTGTGTGATTGCTCGTTTTGTTATTAACCAGGTCAATAATTTCGTTGAGGCTGGAGCGTGTCGCATGTGGAGCAGCAGGCATTGGGCTGACCAACTGAGCCATGCTACAAAGCAGCAGAATCACTACCATCTCCATATCTGAGGACCGTTGGCACAAGAAGCTYCAGTTGGTCTTGATTGTTCAGCTGTAAGCTTGCAGTTGCTCTGAAGTTGTGACTGYAGGCTCGAGATTTATATACGTGTTGCCCACGCCTCTGATGTTTCATCATTGCAGGAAAAAAAAGGCAGCCCCAGATAAGACAGAGTTGAGGTTGATGAGCAACTTGAGAAAAAAAAAAGTCTCGCTTTTCTCTGAAGATGCATGTTGGTTGCTTTATCATGTAAAGGAAAAACTAACTTTTGTGGCGAACAATCACTCCAGCGTTGGTGCATGAGAAAACATTTATTATTTGAACATAAAAAATGCAACAACCCYATTTTTGACATCAATATGGAACAGGTGCGCAACTTAAAGCTCCTCCATTTATAACTTTGATGTATTTTTTTGACTTTACAAAAATGAAACATTTGGACTGTTTCCCATCCAGAAACAGGTCATCAGATCTTTTGCTGTTTGTCTCTTAGTGTTCATGTTCAAACAATTTCTAAACAATCATTTTATAACCATCTTCTAGGCATTTAATTCTCTTTTGATGGTAAAAGTAAATGTGGTATCACTAAACAATATTCCAACAGAGAAAACAAACTCAATTTTTAAGAGAACTAAAAAAAGGATGAGTTGCAGAAAAAAACATTTTTCATGAACATCTGCCAWTATCTGAGCCATTAAATATTATTTTAATTTGCTACCTTTAAAGTTATTTAACGAGAGTAATTTGAAAGTGGAATTTCCTCCAACAGTCTGAAAACTAAAAGTGAACAAGTCTGAAGGATTGCTGCGTATTTCTGAAGCAGAACAGAGTCAAGTGTTTGCTCAGTGGAGGTAGGATGAGAGGGAGGAGATGCTACACTTGATGATTTCTGAGTTCTGGTCCTGGTTCTTACGGATGCGATAGAAGTGTTCGATGTAGCTGGACCGGCCCAGCAGCTCCACAAAGTCTTCATCGTGGGTGATGATGAGTAGCTGGAAGTTTCTCTGGCGAGAGCGATTCTTAATGATTCTGCAAAACACAACAAAGAGATAAAGTCACGTTTATATTTCATTCAGTTCAAACAGACATGGATCAAGTCGATCTGAGTCTGATAGAGTCTGCTGATGCAAGTTGTGAACATATCAAACCAAAATGTTTAGATAATTCTTACGTAAAAAGATGGGTTTTATGGCATATAAAAAAC